GCCCCCCCCCCCCTTTCTGAGACATGCTTGCACCATTGGGTGAGCCTATCCACCAGCGCTCTTTACAAATTTACTAAAATTTCGTCCTACAAATAAGACACCGATACTATAAATTGTGTAACACTCCTTTCATTGTATATTATTCCCTGATATGTGTAAAATCATCGGACCTGCTCTGAGATGTTAGAAGCGTGGGACTGCGTAAAAGCACCAGAGGCTGAGGAGGCTATTCCAGGGATACACAGCCCTAATACTGAAAAACAACTGTCGGTGAATGCGTCTAGTCTGGGACTACAATAGGGCTACAGAAGTGCCAGCCTAGAACTATTGCCAGAACTCTGCCGGAGCGGGGGTCCTATCTCTGGCAGAGATGACCTTCTATTATTTGAATTAATAATTTGAAGTTAACTATATTGCGTGAAGTTAACATTTTCACGCAGCATAGCTCCTCCTAGAGATGTAGTTTCCTATTTAGTTAGGAGGGCGTCAGCCCTTTCCCTTCCCCCCGCCAAACTTGGGCTTTAGCCCGCCCAACTATGGGAGGAAAGTGGGCAAAATCCAGTCAGGCATCTGTTTTTTGGCATATTTTGCGGGCAGATTGGGCATTTACCACTGTTCAGCTCTCCTACACATTCTGCAAAGCTACGCGCCTGGTTCCTCTACAAGGGAAAGAAAGGGGAGTTGGTGTTAGCCTTTGCTCTGAGCTTCCTCATGCCATAGCTAATGAAAGTACGATTAGTGTGGTGTTGAGATTTTGCTGATAAAGCTGTGTGTGTGGTGTTGAGATTTTGGAAATCACACCATCGTTTCTTTTTTTCTGAATGGCTTCTGAGTGAGCTCTCTTCAAATGATACAGCCAGCCCCATCTTGGGCTGCATTGTATCACATGGAGAGATTTTTCGTGAAGTAGGGGTGAGCGAGGTGAGTTGTATTATGTCCAAGATGTGCCTGGTTGATTTATTCCATATCTACGCGAGGGATGGCAGTCTTGAGTCATTTGGATGAAACCTAGAAGCGCCCTCCACCTTTCAGTGTACTTCCGATTGCAAATGTGCACGCGTCTAGGGATGAGCGCGACATTATATGTATATTTGTTTCGTATCGCTCGAAAGTACAACCATCGGTGTTGATAAGCGTTTAAGGACATGCCGCATAATTAGACCAACTGCATGCTATACTGAGTGGTGGGGAAGTGTATCAGTCGCATATGCTGCAAAACATTTGGCGTCTGCTTCCCGCGGATTTCGGGGTGGCTTCTTCCAAGACGTCGTGCGGTACGTGTTGTATCGGCTGCGCATGGGGCGTGTTGCGTAGGCTGCACCGCAAACAAGCTGAATGCACTGAGATAAGCAAATAAGATGCACTCGTCTCAGCTATTTCAACATTCATCTTAACTGCGACATGGCAAAGTTCTGCCCTTACAAAGTGCAGAACTTTGTAGAGGCAGAAGAAAGATACAAAGTGCCCCATGCACAGCTGATACAATACGTACCGCCTTTAAGGAAAGTTTATGCTTCCCCGAAGTCCTTGGGTTGCCAGCGCCAAATATTGTGTGGCATACGCGGTGGTACATATATGCCTCACCGCTCAGAATGGCTTTCAAAATAGTCTGGCTACGGTGCGAGATCTTAAACGCACATTTCCACCGATCCCTAGAGCCTTGAATGACATCCAAAAGCGTGTTCGTCACGCTAATCCCAAGACGAGCGCGCGCATGCAGCCAGAAGTACACCGAAGGATAGAAGACACTGTTGTACGTCAACTGCGTGACTCAGGACTGCCATCCGCTGCAAGCAATTAGGAGTAAAGACTAAATCGCCCTGAAACTACTTGGACATGATGCAACTTATCCTATAGCCCCGACCTCTACGAACTATCTATCACAAAATCAAATATCTCTTTAACCTCCCATAGTGCAACGAAAGCATCAATGCGCAAAAATGCGTCTGTCATAATTCCAGCCTGTCAATTCCCGTGCCACTTGTATGGCGTTTGCTTGCGTCCTTACCAGTGAATCTATTTGAGATATGAGTAGCAGGCTTGTACCTAAGGCTAGCTTAGTTCACATAATGCTGGACTCTTGAAGGGAAGATCCCGGTTCAAGACTCATTATTTCCAAGGAGAGAATTCGGGTTGTGTCGCGCATGTGGTTGGAAGCCGAACACTGTCCAGTCCATCTCATGACTCAATAACAGCTGGCGGCGTTCGATGGCTAAATAACCAAAACGCTGTGTAAATACTAACACGTCAGGCGAGAATGGCAGTCCGAGCATATTGTTGAAAATCTCGTTTTATTCCTTTTACAATGCTGCGTAAAACTATAGCAGTGGTGTAATTTTGTAAAATGAGTGGAGCTTATCTAGCGGGGGGAAAATAGCTAAACCCACTAAAGCTGCCACTTTTTTGAAATCTGGAATACCTACACCCACCCCACACCCAAATCTGAAAGCCTCCAACCGCCCCGTAAGGCAGGCGTCCCCCAAAAAGCCCATATGGGCGTGCCAAATTTATTTTTTTATTCCAGATACACATTCTCGGCCTTATAACAACGATGTTACCAAAACAAGAGGCTATAAGAAATCGTAGCTCATATTAATTTCTTCTCTTATGTTTTGTCATGGCTTGCATCAACAGACCATGGCTCATTTTGAAGAAATTGCTTAAGACTCAACACATGCCGTGCCATGGTCTCCCCTTGGTCCAGGTATGAATCCTCTTCGTGTAAAACAAACTCCTCTAAGTTCTTCAGAGGGCTGTTGAAAAGGAGCCAACCAGGTACCTGGAAAGGCAAAAAATTAAAAAACTTCAGTCAGTATCAACGCAAAAATTAAGACTGGCTTTGCATTTAGGTTTGATGATTATATGATGATCCTCCAGTTATATATATATATATATATATATATATATATATATATATATATATATATATATATATGTATACGTGTGTGTGTGTGTGCGTGTGTGTGTGTGTGTGTGTGTGTGTGTGTGTGTGTGTGTGTGTGTGCGTGTGTGTGTGTGTGTATGTGTGTGTATGTGTGTGTGTGTGTGTGTGTGTGTGTGTGTAGGCATTTCCTTTGCAAATTGTGTGTACATGACTGGTTACGATAGCAGCTTTTGCGCAATACACCGAGCTTCACACCAGAATACTGCATATCACACCGGGTCTCAGAACACCAGCCCCGACCCAGGAGCACATAGACGACGCGATCGCCCCGGACCTCTGCCCTGGATCGGCCTGTGGCCTCCCAGCCGGACCTGGGTTCGGTCTCGTGACCTGAAGCTTTGCGTGAGGAGCCGACGCCCCATCTGAGCGCGGTCCGTGCTGCTTTATCAATAAACAGGCGGCCGGCGGCCGCAGTCTGGCGGCTGGCTGGCCCGAGCGAAAGCTACCGGCTCCATCGGGAGAACCGCCGCGGCTGGGGAGTCGGGACTGCAAGCCAGCTGCAGCTGGACTGTGGACATCGCCAGCCGTCGGCTCCATCGGGAGAACCACCGCGGCTGGGGAGTCGGGACTGCAAGCCAGCTGCAGCTGGACTGTGGACATCGCCAGCGTAGGGCGCCGGCTGGGAATACTGACCAGGGAATACTGCAGGCGGGCCTTTCCGGGGAGTGAAATTGAACTGTGCAGCACACCCAAGGAATTGGTCATCGCCATCTCAGCCGATAGTATTCTCGCACATGAACACACATGAACACACTCGCGATCACTCGGGGGCATTCAATGACGTACACTTGTTTTGGGTTATTTTCCCGTCTGTTCAGAGCGCCCCTGTTCTGGCCGGGTCCCATATGTTCGCCTGCCGGGGCAATCCCGATCGTTCAGGGCGCACCACATTAGCCTTGGGTTCTTCTCGCTTGCTCTGAGAACTCGACCCCGTTGACCGGTGCCTTTTTAATGGTCTGCCGCGGCACCCTCGATCGCTCAAGTGCCGTCTCTATCGGTCTTGGGTTTACCCCTTTTTATCGGAGGGCGTGCGCCGTTGACGGGGACCTCACTGTTTATCGGCCGAGGCACCCTTGGTCGCCTCAGGCCCTCCACATTGGTCGTGGGGTCTTCCCATGAGGTTAGAAGGACCTTACTGTGTTGCGCAAAGCCCCAAAAGTGTTTGCGAACGCCAGGGTGTTTTGCCTGCTCGCGTGTACGAGCCTGGCTAAATTGCTCCGTTTACACAAGTAAGGGGTTCTACACGATGACGATTTCACCCCGTTCCTTAGCCTTAGAGCAGGAGTCGGACATGTGCCGCTGAACTTCCGCGTGCAATGCTTTGTTCCGAACATAATTTGTCGCACCGCCGGTGTCGTATATGTCATTTCCATTGATTATTCAATTTGAGACGCTTGTTACACTTATTCATCACATTCTAAACAGTTTTTTGCATGCAAGAATGTTTTGAATTCCTTCATGATTGTCAAAGCAAAAACAATGCATTACCGATCAGCCATCATCTGATCGCATCTACCAGCGGGTTAACCGAAAATGTCTTTTGGAATTAAGTGTCATCTATAATTATGACGACATTTAACAGGTAATTCAACCTCATTATTCTCCGATGTATTTAGTCTTAAAATGACTGGATTCACCATGATATGAAGAAAATGAACGTGCTTCACGCATGTACATACGAAATTACGTAGCACACCTAGTTTTCTATGGCTGAACACAAGAAGATGACTTCCCGCGTACCAAGTAAGATACATAAGCATCTTAAAAGGAACATACCACCTATTTGCATTTTTCACGCATTGGTAGATTACATGAGTCCGATTCGATCAGTGAACGTTATGAATCGTGGACTTAATGAACTGTGGACATTTTAAGCTGAAGACGAGTACACCGGCCAGACCCCTCTTGTCCCTCTTCCTCCGCCTTTGGCCTCCTCTGACCCGGCCATGTATGATGCATTGTTTCGCGGCCCCCAGTCGAGCATTGTTTGGCGCAAGCGCATGCGCTGGTGTCGCGTTTCAGTCGTTTCACACCTGCGGCATCGAACAAACAGGTGGCCAACGTGAAGTGAGGCTGGTCGGTCGGCCCGCTCCGTGGCACAAGGTGGGTAGCTCGGGGGCGGCTCTATGCCGTCTGCTGTTGTTATCCATTCGGGGTATCTTGCCCGTTTAAGGGAATGCTCCGCATTGGAAGATTTTGAGGCGAACATTAGATGTGATGGGATAGATATGAAAGATCAGATATGAAATCCCCCTGTAACTATTGGTAGCTTTTTAAGCGCAAAAGGCGTCCTAAGACAACACGGTTTCACCATTAAGTAAATATACTCCTTAATACGTCGTCGTTTGATTACGTCATGGAAGGTTGTATGACGTCAGAGCCACTACCAGACTGGCCATGTCAAAACTGCGTAGCGGACGGGCTGACTTTCTTGTAGTGCTTCAACTCGCCGCAAGGTGTCTTGTTAATTAATGCGTGTGAGCTAAACTGGCGATCCTTGAGTGCGTGTTTTTGCCCTTTATAGCGGTGTTCTTGTATGTTTCCTGTAGTGGAATGTTTTTTATTTGCATCGGTTTCCTCGTTTACGGAGCTATTTCTAAGTTATTCGGTTCCCACCCTTGTTTGCGTCTAACTGGTAGAGCTACCCAAATGCCTGCATTATGCAGCACAAAACGCGGTCGTGTTTAAAACTTGCAATTTAACGCGTTTAAGTGTTTGAGAGTCAACTGCTGTCCGTTGACGCAGCGACTCGTGTTAACGTCTTACTGGCACAGATAAGTCAATGGTCATACTTATATAACGACAAACGCAATATGGGTATTGAATAGGCGGAATGCGTGCGACATTTCTAGTACGTCATACGCGTCTGGGTGGCCTAGAACTAGGCGGCCACGCACTGTTTAAGACCACCCACTGTTGTAAACATTCCCAAGCCATAGCGTCACTCTCAATCAGCCAGCTCTGACCATGGCTGCAGCCGTGACCCAGGCCGAGCATGCCGCGGCTCCAGTCTGAGCCGGCTGTCAAGCCATAGCGTCGCTCTCAATCAGCCAGCTCTGACCATGAAGGCAGCCGCGACGCAGGCCGAGCATGCCGCGGCTCCAGTCTGAGCCGGCTGTCAAGCCATAGCGTCACTCTCAATCAGCCAGCTCTGACCATGAAGGCAGCCGCGACGCAGGCCGAGCAGGCCGCGGCTCCCGTCTGATGCGACTGTCCCATCGCCCGCCCACCCGCTGACCGTGGACAGCGGACGGTGGCAGGTCACGTCACATAAGGCTAGTGTCACGTCACGACCTTGTCCGCTCAGGTGATGTTATAGTAGTCACTGTGTTCGCGAAGGTGACCCACTGTTTACAATGGGAGCAAGAGGGATTTTCATACTCCAGGCAGCCGTGCTCCTATGACGTCCAGAAAATTCCGTTTGCTCAAGTTAAGCACTGCGTTCGCATTGTGAGGAGTTTTGGCCATAACAATTGCGATCCATAAGTTAGAAATAAGATACAGAATACGACATATCACTGGGTTGTCCCATGTCATGTTACCGCAGGCATAACGAGGACAAACAAACGCAGCGGGTCGCTCCAAGTTTAAGCAGGCTTTTTAGTACGAAAGCATACGTTTGCAGCGAGACACTCATACAGTGTGTGCAGAGAGACACTCATGCGGTGTGTGCAGAGAGACATTCATGCAGTGTGTGCAGAGATATAGTCATGCAGTGTGTGCAGGGAGACATTCATACAGTGAATTCAGAGAGGCATTCATGCAGTGTGTGCAGAGAGACACTCATGCAGTGTGTGCAGGGAGACATTCATACAGTGAATTCAGAGAGGCATTCATACAATGTGTGCAGAGAGACATTCACACAGTGAGTGTCGCACGTTCGCCGATCATGTCGCCTCCGTTTCACACTAATTTGTTTAGCAGGCATGTGTCATACGCAACTGCCGGTAAATGAGTACTTTTTACGGTGGTTGTTACTGTGTACAGCCGTCCTAATGTGGGTGCGGTGGAATAAGGGCACGGGGTACCACGGAAAGAGCACAAGATTGAACGCAATGATTCTTGGTCTTGGCTGCGGAGCTTAGATAAGATGAGATTCACAGAATGTGCTATTAGGTTTTCGTCAATTAGCAGGCAGCAAGCCCAGTCGCTTGAAATGCGCAAGGATAGACTTGACAAGATGGTTAACATCTGCGTCTGAGGCTTCAACAATGTGGGGGATTTCCCGGCACGCGTTCGAAGGCCTCCTCTTGAGCGCGCGTGCACCGGGTAGCATGTTCGTTCTTAAGGTGTGTGTCTCGGAACCTGAGACTTTCCGCCCGACTCCTTTTGATTGTTGGTGTGGATATCCTACCCGTCTCTGTGTATTCAGTTATCCCAGTGATAAATAATGGGTTCATACGGCTCCGGTAGAGTAAACAGGCCATCGCGCCGGGTGGTCGCTGAGAGCGTCTGACGTCACTGGGGTCGCGATATGGCCAATCATTTATCGCGCTGGCTGTCCTCTGCCCTGATAGCGAGGCGAGCAGAGGGAAGACTCCGCGGAGGAGTGAGGACGTGGCTGGTCCTCTCCGCCCGAGCCGAGCAGCGGTCCAGAGAGCGGTGAAGATATCCGCGCCACCAGAGGCTCGCCAGTGCAGGGAGAGATATTTGTTTCCAGGAGTCGTGCGGGCCGGGCAGGTGGTGTCTGACTGCAGGCACTTCGCAGAGGTGGCGGACAACGAGCGGCGTCATGGGTAGCACCAGTTCCTCCTTTCTCACGAATGAGGAGGTTGATATGTACGCCGAGCTGACCTACCTGAAGAAAAGGGAAGTGATCAGGTGAGAATTCAAGGGCAAGTTGTTCGAGTAGTTACGGATTTGGACCCCAAATGAATATTTTTGGTTTTATTCCTAACCAGGAAAACCAATACCGAATTTGGTGTCCCCAGATTGCCACGCGCTCTTGGCCTAAGCAGATACGTGTGTCAATAGATAGCATAGCAATCATTGTCATGACGACCGGATGAGTTGGTCAGCGCTCCTAGGCCAGGCCGATGTGACGCACCGCAGCGGTGTGGGCGTTGTGGTTAGTCCTTCGCCGCTCACGTAAACTCGTGCCATTACCAAAGAAATGTGTTGAAATCAGCAGCCGTTGCTCGCCTTTCGGAAGTCTGACATCCCGTGTGGGAGGCTTTGTGGGCTCACGCTTCTAAAACGCCACTGATATCCTTTACGAGGGCAATGGAATCATGGTCAAAAGGAAAGCTATGTTCCAAAAGAGATTGCAAGTTTTGTTAAATGGCTGCATACCCAAAATAAAATGTAGGAAAACATGTTCTTCTTTTCTGTGGGGACAGATCTTTTGCTGTTTCCGCGTATTATTTTGGAGTTTGGACTCCAGATAGTTCCGCCATGAAATTTATGCAAAGAGATGCTCAGTTGGGGGGGGGGGGATTAGGTCATCTTCGCCTCGCACGCTATAGCGGGTCGTTTTGAGAGCGGAGCAGGTGCCGTATAGACCTCAAGACCAGCATGGTCGCATGCTTCCCTCTGACTGCTTTGTCAAGATCCCCGCCACTTGGAAGCTTGTCATAGGCCCACCGAGGGTAACTCAACCCTTGCCAGGGCGGCGGCCGCGGCGCGCCGCCACCGTCGCATGACTCCGACTATCGCTGGCTGAGAGACCTTGCCGGCGCACTTTGTGTTTGTTAGCCCTCCTGCTTGTCCACCACAACAGTGGTGTTGCAGCGGGATCCAGTATCCGCCGGCATCTACACCGGAGGATGTCTGGGTCATCCGGTGAAGGTAATCCAGTTACCCTGAATCCGTCCCCCCCCCCCCCTCCCTTCCCCTGCAGTCAATACGTGGTATGCTGGCTATCGAAACCTGTGCATGGAATAAATATGTAAATCCTGTATTAGAAAGTGTGCTTCCGTCCCGACACATGCTATTCTCATGTAACTATTCCCTCCCATTTTCTTCGTCCTGAAACCGCCACCGTCATTCCTATGTATATCTAGTGTTACTACCAATGCAACGCATGGGCCTTCCAGTTGGAAGCAGCTATTGCAACCAAACACCAGTTCCAAGTTGTGTACATCGGTTAAGACTATGCTGTTTGCACAGCGTGCCGAACTGACCCGAAGTCTCGCTAACGTCCAGCCGTACATTTAGCTCTGTCCGAAACCGGGCCTGGCTCTCTCGTAGATAAGCATCGGTAGGCGATGTGTACGCCAAATTGAAAATGCGATAAATCAATATGAAATGTCTTGCCAGTTTTGAAGCCACTGCTTACCTCCTCCATGTCCCTAACCCTGAAACCGTCTCTGCCATTTACATGCATTATACAATACCATGTATAGCATCCATATGAATGTATAGCACCATCATGTTGATTGTGAACATTAATACTCAAATAGCACTAGAAATATCCTCGAAGGCGAGTTCATTTCATAAATTTCACGTCAGTTCTCGTCTTTACTAAAGCATCAAAAATTTTCGAGACTGGCTTCTAAAAACATGCCTTACAGGGAGGCAGAAACGAAGCCGATCAAGAAAAATGTTAAAATTCGGAACAACATGTGAGAACAAAAGCAAGGAAAACCATGTAAATTTGATTGTGATCTTTCCGCAACTGTAGACATTCTCGACACGAAGTGGGAAGGAATCGATTACCCCCACTCTCGTCATACAGAAAGCAGAGTTAAGGCCTTTTCGCTACGAATTGACTTATGGTTTTTAAGCGCTGATTCATTGTTAATGAAAACAGTTGTTGCTCTGTCGGGCGAACTTTCTGTGAAATTAGAGAATGTGTCTGCTTAATCATGTGCAAGCAGCATGCCAGCAAATGCTCTCGATTGGTTTCGCCTCGAGAGAGACGATATTTAAATTCCTGCAGAAGGGGATATCTAAACCAACAACCAAAGAAAAATTTGACAAGATTTCGCCAGAGGCTGGACGTGGTCATCGCGGCACCATTGTAAATAAATACTTCAACTGTCCGCAGTTGGGAATTTTAGCCTCTTCGTAGCCAGGCTCTGGTGTTGAAACCGCCCCTTGAAAACATTTCACCCAATTCAACGGCGGCAAATTCACCGGAATAAGTGCGCTTTATGCTCATAAGTGTGGTCCTATCGGGACTCCTTGCCTCACCTGCCAGCATTCTCGAGAACCGCTCTGCCGACGCCTGTTGTCCGTGCCGCCGCGGGGTCACCAGGCGTACCGGCACACCGTCATTCAGACCTCTCTCCGGAGTCATCGCAGCGGCCCGTCCCCTCCGCTTCGTCTCAGGTTGCATGTCTGGCACAGGATTTGCGCAGCAAGCTCCACTCGCGACCTAGTTGGAAAAGCTGCGGACATTATCTGGGCTCCGTTCACGGAAGCTAGTAAAGAGCTGCGTGGTAGTGCCAAAAGCGACTGTGCTGAGTGAGGTCACAGCGATAGCGGTGACAGCCCCAAATGATAGCGGTGCATGTGGTGGGCAAACGTTCGAGCTGCAGAGCTTGCTAGCTCGCTGTTGGAACTGTGGAGTAGCAGTTGCAGTTGAGCTCTTCACGGTTCGTTGTGAGTGTTCGGAACGCATTCCGACCATGACGCCTGCCATCTAAAGGCCAAACAAGCCTGTGGATGTAATCTTACAGCGTATGTCGATCTAGGCTATTTGATATCCTTGTGGTCTAACTTTCATAACAAAGCATATGTGAGATAGCCTGCGGCCAAAATATGTGTTAGTATGCATTTAGAAGGTACGGATTTCTTGTTTATAACCAGTTCAGTTCAAAGCGCATTGTTAAAGTTATCACGCCAATCTGCTGTCAGTTATTGCTCATTTGTTTAATTGAAATGTAATCGTTATCTCATTTGTCTAATTGAAATCTAATTGTGATTTTATTTTCCTAAAGCTATCATTATTGCTCATTTTCTGAGCTGCCCGTGCGCGATCTCCGTGTCTCTATGTCGTCTTCTCTGCATCACGTTCCCTACGTTCGACGACACCACCTTCCGCCCCTGCCTCAGAACGGCGGCCCGCATCAATCGCCGACACACCCACGGCCCCCAGGGGAGGGGGGGGGGGGGGTTCAGCCGAGGCACTCTCCGCTCTGTAGGCGACGCCCCTTCGTCTGGCTCGCCATGTGATGTTTTGACGGTGTGGTTTTGGCACTTCTTTGCAGTTTATACCCCCTCTTGCTATGCTGGTTCTTGAATCTTGTTGGCGCTGCGGTGATAGTAACCAGTGCTGTCTTTGCACATCTCTGGTCCCGAGGTTTCACCCGAGCTTACTTTTGAAACATTTCTCGACTGCGGCGCGATCTCTTTAATCGTGTCCGACACAGCGTTAGCTCTCGGGTTGGGAATGCGGACATCCTGAGATGGTACAAGCTTGGCAAGCAGAGGTTTCGCGATGGTCAGGAACTAGTCCCACTGGGGAACCAAGAAGGAGAGTTGGTGACAACCACGTCCAGAGTTGCTCGTAGCCACTGGGTAACTTAAGCGTTGGTGCTAATACAATTCGGGTGAGTAAAAATAAAATGTCCCAGCACGTGACGAGGTCGACGCACGAGGAGCATGGCTGTCCTCGCGCAGCAAAGTACAGATGAGATCACTCAAGATCGGCGGCCAGCGTAGGCTGAACACTGCGCGAAGCAGAGGTCCTACTTTTGGTGCCCTTCCGGGACGGTCTCGACCACGCGCTTGGTGTCAGGGTGCCTGCCACAGCACGCAGGCATACGGAGGCCTACACCGATATCTCGGACCCGGAGATCATACGACTGCTCTGAGGGTTCAGAGCGAAGGAGTGCCCCCCAAATGGGAGACCGTACCGACGGATCCTCGCGAGGACGGGCCATATCCGTTACCCAACCGCCGCAGGCGCTGGTCGGCGCCGCGCTCATCCTGGCCGAGGTGATCACTCTCCAGTGGCCGTCATCGCCTGAGGGGGAGCTAACATAGGAGCGCGCTACCGAAGTCAGGGTTGACTCACGGACCTCCCACCAGGATTGGCATATGTATGAACCGACTGCACAGCTGAAGTGGTCAGGACGATTAAAGATATGCACCTGACATTTGCCATTAGCGTGCTTGTCTATTGTCTGAATGCTGTACGTTCTTGTGTTTTGAACATTGAGCAACGTATGCATCCTTCGTGATTGTTTTTTGTTTTTTGTTAAATGCTGTTGTCGGAATGATGTGCCAGAAATACAACTTTTCTTAGCTCCGAAAGTGCGGCTGTGGAGATCCCAATGCCCTTCATTAGGTATCTTAATTTGTACATTGAGCAGTACCAGAATGCGACGTAGTTTGCAACTCGTCTTCAATATGGTCGAAATCTTCGAGAAATCTGGTACCGCCGCGTGGTTGGTGTGAGCTGGTGATCATCTTACAGTGACTTTGATCCATCTGCTTCCTGACTCTGACGCCTTTCACTTTGGAGTTGTGTTGTGGCTGGGCAGTAAGTAACGTGGTGGCGACTTTGTGGCAGGTCACCGTCATTGAGCCTTCATCACAGGGGTGTAGTTTTTCAAAGCACATTTGGAAGTTGAGCAGTGAAAATGGCTAGATATGCCTCTAAAATACACAAAAGCAGGTTTTCCCAAGATTTGACCGCTTTTCTCCCTAAGTTCAAAAATTGGGCTCCCATGGCTAAAAAGAAAACTAAACCCCTGCACCAATGTGTTTTCTCCCTCTATCTCGCCGGGAGATGTTGTCGTCGAGCATCATTACTAGTTTGCTGGGCTTCGGTGGTTGAAATCAAGGTTCAGTAATCGACGTAGGGTCGATATTTGTGGCTTCAGACGTCGTTAGATGTGTACGGTCTCGGGAATAAAGAGTGTAAGTTATTATGTGTGGCTATTGCAAGCCGCCTCGGAAACCTCGGCTGGAATCCGTGAGGCGGGCTGCAGGTTGCAGCGTAGCACTCGCATTGGACATGTTCGACAAGGCTAGTATTGTTTTGAGGATCATTATTCAATGATTACCGCTGTCGGTTTAGTCGGGTGGTATCGATCATTAAGCATTCGTAACTGGTCCGCTAAATATTTACGTCGAAGTGGAGGTCAGCACATTGCAATGGTTGTTCAGAACAAAGCGGCTAGGAAATTCGTCACGTTTTGGGGTGCTAATTTGACCAGTTTATTTTATTTCTCCGATAAGGTGTAATAGCAGAATATTATTCAAACGGAGCTTGTTTGAGTCTGCAGAATCTCAAAAATATGTAAATAATGATAAAATGCTTAGGCAACAGCACAAAACTACACCACAGTCAACAGAACACATGAATGGGATAATTAAACACATGCAGCATGTAGCAGAAAGATAAAGTGTACTCCAGTAAACACAGGACGAATGCGGAAGTCTAAAAGCATGACTTTCTCCGTCAGCTGCCATCAAGTGGACATCACATCGCAGCTTGTATTTTCTCTGCTCCTTTTACCTATGAAACAATGACAAAAAGCTTCTAGAATTTACATTATTTTGATGTTTCACTTTTGATGTTCTGCTTGTTCTTACTTCAGTAGGTTTGGGGGGGGGGGGCGGGAAAACCCATCAGTTGGGGTTTGAATTGGGCTTTGAGGGGCCAGAGGTCAATCCAAAAGAATAAAAATCGGCACCCGTGCCCATGCATCTTTCACAAACGCACTGCTTACTGGTAGCTAAAGCTTTTTGTGCAGTGTACATCGCTCAGCTGAACATGGCCGTTGTTTCTTAGTTATCCTTTCGCTGGATTTTTAGGTCCTATAAAAAAAGCTTTGATAAGGCATAACATAGCCTTTAAACACGTCAGCGAATACAGTGCATCATTTTTAGTCAAGACCAGTGTCCACTTACCTCGCACCCAGCTTACACTGTTAAAAGCTCCTAGATGATGTAAGAAACAGGCCTGTCTTATGTCCATGTGCTAGATGTTTCAACTTCGAAAACATTCTGGACCCTCATCCGGAACCCTGATTACGTTGCGAATCTGAAAGCATGACAGGCGAAAAAAACATGACGAACAGAAGCGAGGTCAAAGTGCCTCTGCGCGTCGCAGTCGTCACACCTGGCGTGAACTGAACCCTGCAAAGTGCCGGAGACTGGTCCTGCCTCTCTGCTCGCAGGGCGTCGTCTCTGTTCCGTCACATGGACCCGACATCAGTCGACACGGACCGTCGGATTCGACTCCCCAGCCAGCTCATCAGAGAGCGCGTGCCGGAGCTACAGGTGAGCGGCCGCGACGGCGTGGGCTCTGGTCCAGTTCCAGGTGCATCGCCGGCGTCTGCTCCGCAGGTGAGCGGCCGCGGCGGCGTGGGCTCTGGTCCAGTTCCAGGCGCATCACCGGCGTCTGCTCTGCAGGTGAGCGGCCGCGGCGGCGTGAGCTCTGGTCCAGTTCCAGGCGCATCACCGGCGTCTGCTCGCCGTGGACATCAGAACGCGGGACATCAGCTGGTGTGAGGCCCGGAGAGGGCAGACAAATGCCAGCAAGCCTGTCACGTTGGCTTTTTAATTAGGTGCGCAGTGCTAGTTCGTGATGGAATGGCCCACACGTCATATGTTTTACGTCGTGTAGGAGAACCTCCTGCGCGGCTGCAGGGCAGCACTATCACTGTGCTGTTTTGATTCCAGTGCAACCCTTTCGGCGAGAGGATCTTGGAGATGTTCTCTTCGGAGGGTGACGACTGTCTCAGCTTCGAGGACTTCCTGGACATGCTGTCGGTGTTCAGCCGCTCGGCCCCAGACGAGCTGAAGAGCAGCTACGCCTTCCGCCTATATGGTCCGTATAAATACCCCCACATGTACCACGTGCATTTAATTAGCATAAGCGAAATTCAGCTGAAGACGGTGTTATGTTTCACATTGTGAAAGTAAGAGAAAATCGCCCACTGAAAAGTTTGCTAGGTTTTGTTTGCTGGATTACATATAATTTCTGGTCCATAAAACATCTTGTCATTCCGAATAATCCAACTAACACATTGACGTTTTGGGGCTTTTCAACAAATTGACCATTTGCCATAAGGTAGCGGTCTAAAACACCGATTTTTATCACCGACCTAAAACACACATTTTCTATCTACTTGGATGATAGCCACGTGTGACGTGGCCATCATCCAAGTTTATCAACATGAGTGCCAATATGTTGACAACAATGTCAACATGTCAACAATTAGTTTGTCAACATGCGCATAATACGGTCAAAGATACATCCAGTGGCGAGCCGCCGGGAAGACCGTTGCTCTTCCTTCCAGACTTCGACGGCGATTCCGTGCTGGACAGGTCCGATCTAAGTTACGTGCTCGACCGGCTGACACGCACCCAGACGTCCAGCATGGCCAGCAGCGAGAAGGCCGCCGTCATCGATAAGGTGAGCGCACTGTGTCGCGGCTCGCGCAGTGACGGCAGACGGTCCGCGGTGACCTTGGCCGTGGTAGCCCTTGCGATCTAAACGCGGCAATGCGCTCAAGACTGTTTTGTTGGGTTGGCCCAGGATAGAAGCAAGGAAATTGCTTGTTAAGCGAACGACAACACCTTGGATGCGACTAAAGGGCGGGGGTTGCGGTACACAGCGTCAGGTGACTTATTTTACAAAACACAACAGGCGTCCGACACTGGAGACTGCATGGCATACACGCCCCCTACAAGATGATATTTTTTACTTGTACGACACTTTATACCCACTGCAGCAAAGTAGAAATGACATTATATGCCACTGATACTACATTTCCAACGGGCAGAATCTTGCAAATCTTACTTCTACAGGTACAAGCAAGATTTGAGAGAAAATAGGTGAAGAGGTGCATAAATTTATGATGGAGATTTTACACCAATGCCTGTGGTCTAATTGCGAATATTTGGGCATATGTTCATGTCTAACATTCATCAGATCGAGTAAATGTGCGACGATGATGTTGCTGAGAAATCCCTGGAAGGCACAGGGAGTCATGGTTAAACGGATGCGACTGTCGACATTGATCAACCCCACATTCGACCACTGTTGATTTTCAATTTAGACTTACGTTGCCCCACATTCTATCCAGGTACCTCTTCTTAAGACCCCACCAATGTTCGGTGAAGTGACTCCCGACAAATTATGTGTACCCTCAGATTCTAGAAGAGTCCGACATCGACAGAAACGGCACGATCAGCGCTCAGGAGTTCCAACATGTGGTCACCCGCTGTCCAGAATTCGCGCAGGCGTTCTCCTTCGAGATAATCTGAGCACTAAGCGCGCACACTGGTGATCACGGCAAGCCCTTCACATAACTTGAGGTATCAGAGCGCAGATGAAAGCCTGTCAACTACGTGGGACTGTATCGTTGTGGCTGCGTTATGATGTCCAAGCACGAAGCTAAAGTCATCCGTTATGCTTTCATTGTCCAAGTTCATACTAAAAATGGGGGAGCATTATGCTTTTGGGAACATTTTGACTTCCTCAAGCAGAAGCTGTATGCCTCGCAGGATCACCATTTTTGTTATGTGCGACGGCGGATAAACTATGGACAAGTTGCTTGTGTGGCATGCCACTTTGTCCTCTTCATATGAAGAAAATCGCGTCATTTAATGAGCACGTGGTTTGTGATGATATCTCAAGACGTGTGCAAGAAAATTACGGTGTTTCCAAAGCTGTTGTTGCCCGCCTCTTTCAAGACATTGGGTTGGCCCGAACAAGTGCTGCCATATCGCAAAGAATGAAGAAACTAGAGAGCATGTTAAGTATGCCAGAAAGTTGGCTGAAAACCAGTGAAAATGACACAAGGACAAAGGAGAAAGCTAGTGAAGGCTGCTAATGGCAATGTTGGCATATCACGGCGGCTGAAAGTAAAACGTCTTCCCAAATCGCAGCCATAAGTCAAGAAAATAACAAAGGAACTAAAGAACAAAAAAAAAAACAACTAAAGAACCAAAAAGGTACTAAGGAACTGAAGAACAGAAAGCGAGCAAAGGCACTGAAGGTCTCTGGACATCAAAGAAGGTTTCAAAAGGCTGACGTCTGTGGCTTGTGCCGAAGGCCGGTGTTCAGCAGACAGGCCACGGACGTCGTAGTGGACGGCGAGTCCTACTACACCTATACTGGTATTGAAGCGCCGCGAAATTCAGGCTCTCACACACTCGCTTGACGAGATGTCCTTCCTGATATAAGATTCAAGGGAGGAGACAAACGCATGTAAGACGCTGGAGCTGTTTAAAGACACTAGCGTGCAGTTTGTACCTTAAGTGATAAACCCATCCCTCACTCCCCCGCCCCCATCAGCAGAGGACACGTGGGGTCTGATCAAGCAGGCACTGTATGCGGCAGGCAAGCAAGCACGATCGGACAAACATCTGATGGTCCGGATCCGCACAAATCATCCGCGATCATAGCCCGGAGGTGCCGCTCAAGATCAGGTAGGAGGTGGTCGCGCACGTGCACCTCGGGAGGTAGCGCCGCAGCTCCGTAGCATTGATCTGATCGTGATTTACCTAACACACAGCTTGTTTGTTTTTGGTGATTTTTGTTTCTGTGCCACGCAAAAGTTGCCGCCCACAAATATTTAAACACTGTCCGAAAACATAGCACTTATCCGTTTTCAGTCGGGTGAAACTAGTGTCATATGAAACCCGTGCGCAATGTGTACCATAGAGCCGGGTTGCCGCGAGTACTATATTAAGAACATTTTCACGTGCTGCATTTTTAGGGGCGGGGGTTTGATGTTTTTATGCGGCGTGCCCCTGACGAATAAGCTGCTTAGAATGTCAACGAACTGCCCGTTTGCGGTCCGCGCGGCTAGGATCCGTGCTTCGGTGTCGTCACGGCATGCTACGTGCCTCGGCGTCGGCGTACGTTTGTGCCGTCACGACATGCATAGTAGCAACGTTCGATTGTTAAATCCAGAGAGTGAAATCCAGTGTCGTTTTTATTGTTTCGCACGTGTCGTTTAGATGCATGATAATAACTGGTCACAAGGTTTCACATGTCGAAGACTGACGTATAGTAAATGTCTACACTCTTACCCATATATATTTGCATGTGTGTTGGTGCGTGATACCTTTGTTATATAAATATGAAAGTCTCGATTGTCCGCTTACTGCCTATCAGGCAGGGAAAAGTCCAAGGCCGTCTGAGTTCAGACACGAAGGCCAACCGCTAAAACGTTCCTTGATGGTTCTCTGTTCTTCGCCTTTCCGCAAACCGCTATTTGTGTTCTACACAGCTATAGATTAGTGCTGATTTTTGAAACAGCGCCCAGAATTTGGTGGTGGCGATGGTCTCAACACCATACTGCAATCTTATTGGTCTTCGGCTGCAGAACATCGTGGCCCCTGTGGCTCGCCACCCCGGTGACAAAAGTCTGAAAGTGACCACAGATGGCGGGGCAGTGCCGGCCGCTAGGTGGCTCGCTTAGTCGCCGACATACCAGGTCTGAGGTCTGCCGGGCGCGGAACCAATCCCAAACTCATCACGCTTAAGTCCCGGACCAGAGTGAGTCGACTCATGCTACGGAAGAATTAAACCAATGCTCAGGTTAACCAATTGAACAAAAACAATTAAGTCCAACTTGGTTTCAAAATGGTTAAATTCGAATGTGTAGTCGAACTCGGGACCGCAGGTTTCTGACAGAAACACAGTCCAACTGGTACAATTAAGGGCCCAACTTAGTATTAAGAACAGTTGAACTGGTTTCCATGCTGAAAGTTCTTATTTTCATAATTTTCTCTCTTTCATTCCTTGAGTCAAGGCATACGAATCAGATACACATCAATCACACGTGATTCGGATATGGATAACTTTTGATTGCCAAACCCTGATTCTTGTTTACTGTTGCGTACATTTTTTATTCATAAAAGTTCATGCTCCAAAAAGTTACAATTAGTCTAGAGGCTTGCATTAAGCTTGCTTGTTGTAACTGTGTCAAGATTTAGGCACACGACAAAGATTGCTGCTTTTATTTTGGCTTATGGGCAAATCCACAGTCGCAGTCACTACGCGCCCAATATAACAGCGGTGAGTTTGTACCTCCCCATGTTGGAAAATTGGCATAACTGCGACGCAGTAGCAGGTACATTATCGCTAACGGGCCACCTTTCGCCTGGCTCAGTCACCGCCCGATCGATGAAGACGCTGGGTCACGGAGACCCAGCACTGATCAGCTCATAGGGCGAACTCTGCGCGTGAGTTCGTCGCCCCAGCACGCCCGGCCAATCTGACTTTAGTGGCTGAAACGAAGAATTATGTCCTGCTTCGTCGGTTGGATGTCACTGGCGATTAGGTCTCACTCTGGTTTGATTGTGCCGATCAAGACTCTTGGACTGCACTGCCCGCTCGCAGCACGTGGCGTTCACAGACACCCGACCGGAAAGCAGACGCCTCCCGCGAAAATGCTTCACAAAACAGCGACTCCACCTACGAGTTCACCCAGACCGACCGTCCCTCGCCGGCAGGTGGCAGCACCGGTCGCGGCGCGCGCGGGTCGCGGCGGCGTGCACTGCGGTGGGATCTCCTGTGGGCGCCGGGGCGCGTGAGGCATTGTCCATTCCTGAGATTCCCCGGCTGCACCTCCCCTTCCGCCTGACACACTGCAGCAGCGAGGTTCCAGTCTGCCAGCCGACGGCTGCTGCTACGGCCGAAGTTGTGTCTGGGTCGCAGGCCGGATGTGTGCTGATACTTTTCATCTAGGTATGCATAGCGCGCAGGCGCGAATAACGCATTTTATTTAAGCCACAGGCGTTGGATAAGGCGATGTATCAAACGAGACTTTACGAAGGCTTTTCGACGTAATTTACCTGAGTGAGCCCTGGATGCTTTTGCATTATTTTCATGGTATGTTGTGTCGTGAGTCATGGGGTTAAGCATATTTTGTTGTGGATTTTGTTTGCTGGAAGCGATTATGCTTGAGTCATTTGCGCTGGACGTTTTAAGCAGCATGCATTCGAACGTGTCATTCATGAGATTAATTTTCATGAACGAAACTACCTACAGATCGTATTGTGCACTCACACTGAACTGAGGCTTATTTCTGGAATTGTATCGGTATTGGAAATTGCATATTTTCTCCTACACGCAGGCTGAGTTCATCGAATACGCTACACTTCACCAACGAGTACATTCAATGGCCGTTGATGGACTATAATCGTACGTAAGAAATTATGCATGTCGCAAAGCGACAAAAACTTTTCGGATGCGTGCATTGCCAGCTTGCACACAGCCGCGGTTGTAAGGTTGATCATTTCTAACGACAGTCGAGTCATGTTCCTGTTAGCTGCCCATCGGACGATTTCAAGTGCGCTGTCTGACTCGTAGCTCGCTACGTTTGCACATTTACCTTTATTGTTTCCAAATGACCTTCAACGCTGACATATATTGCCTCCCAGTCTGCTTTCAGGCCACCGCCGAGCCGTGCGTATTCCCACCCCCTGTGTGCCACACGTGGCGCACGTGGCGCACGTGCGTCACGCCTCCCATGACGCCACGGGCTGCGCCGCCCGCCGCAGGAAAACAAACCTCGCCGAAGGAATGCGCAAATACTGAAGCCAGCCGGTCCATTAAACCGTAATGGTGACTCGGTCGTGAAGAGAAAGGACGCCTCCCGCAGGGTACAGGACGGTCCAGCAGCGTCGGGAGGCGGCTTCTCAGCAGCTCAGGCCGGCCGGACGGCGGCTCCCGGCACCAACCGGGTGCGTCACACATGAGCCAGAGAAGTGCTGGGATGCCAGGACATGCTCTTCACGTTTGGATGTTTTCTTGTAGAGCATTGTCATCTTCTGCTGAGGATTTTCGTCACCGTCTGAACTGAGGATAAGATACAAGAACACTTAAGAACATTGAAGCATCGTAATACAAGAATACTTAAGCATCGAAAGCAAATGCAAATGCCTCAGTTCAGGTACAGTGGACAGGAAAACCACAACTCAGCACTGTGCGCACCAAAACCAGGCAGATGCGGTATAATGACAAACATTTCCTCTATATGAAGTCATTTCCAACACCACGATCTCGCCGAGCATGACACACGGTGTTTTCACCCAAGTCAGTTCTCACCCCCCCCCCCCCTCCCCTCTCCTCTGCACGAGGCAGGGAGCAGCGGCATCTGGGTGGTGATGATGACTCGTGTTGTTGACGCCTGCTCACCAGCAGGCCCCCTCCCTGTGCTCTGCCGCCGTTTGCGGTCGACAGCTGTTGGCTTTGGCGCATGCCAGGCAGCATGTGCAGGTCGGTGCTTTTTTAACAGGGTCGGCAGCGTTCCACAGGCATGTGCGGCAGGCATTTTTCGCTCCCATTTGGCGGGTGGTCGCGAGCGTTGGCAAGGTCGCTACGGCGCCAGCGATGGCGAACAGATGGTCCAGGCTGCGTGCTATGTTGGCATATGGTAAACGGCTTGCTTGCAGCTGACTGTGCGCTGCGCAGTGCAGTGAGCTTTGTCGGTGGTGCGACATGCCAACGGGGGACAGCGGAAGGTGGCCTTTACTGTTCAAGAAAAGTCAGTATGAGTCAAGCTCTTAAGCCGAATGAAATGCGATTTCATTATAAAACGTGGCATGCGGTCTGTATGGAATGACTTCAAATTCCAAAGATGCGGTTCTGGAGGAAATTGAGCTGATGAAAAAACCAGATGTGATTAAAAACCATGGTTCGCGCAGTCACTGGGCCATAAGCTGTGGCGTTACATTCGCTTAGCTCATTTTTGGCACGGCATGAGAGTGCGAAAGCTCCCGGACTAAGCAAAGCTCCTGAGCGAAAGCCTAGCGCGAAAGCTCCCGAACACGGTTACCGTGGCGCAGTGGCTGACGTGAAGCTACTGCTGGGCTTACGTACCACGCTATGGATCCTTTTAAAGTATCAAATACAGCTTGCTAAACAAGCAAACAAGTTACAAACTACCGTAATAAGCCACCCCAGCCTCGACTTTAAGGGGCAGTTTCGTTTAAGTTAGTGATTATGGGGGGGACTGCAGCTCATCTCCACGTCAACAAACCAGAAATGTTGCAGCTTTAGCACCTTGGCCAGGACAGTCACGTTGTTGTTATGTTCTTTGCGATCATTTCTACCACCGTGTAGTTTTCGCAAGATACACAATTTTTTAATCCCCCAATATTTTCAGGCTATTTTCTTTTGGATGAGAGCACTGTTCAAGCCATTTGCGATCCGTTGGGTTCGGCGTAATTCTTCAGCAAGATTATATGACGTGCCAGAATGTAACCGTTGCGTAAGTGCACGGCCAGCTAACGTTTAAGCCATGTCATTTATGAGGAAGCCAACGAATCTAGCTCGGCAAACCTTAGGCAAGGTCATTTTCCTTCTAAAAACATATCTGAAAGAAGAACATTTTCCTTCGGACTTTGACCTGACGTTTACTCATCACGTTGTTTACGTTCGCCATCAATCTTCGTCATTCATTCACGTCTGTTGCACACACTCGTCGAGCGTCACGTAAGGTGTCTTGCTGATATATTCCAAGTTGGATCCCCAACTGTCAGCCATCAGAAGAATAACTGACCCCAGAATATTAAGAAATACTGAAAAAACTGTCTAATTGCTGATGATTACGAATGTGCAGGATTTTTTGGATGATGTTCATTTATAAACGTGTTATTAACAGAACCATAATGTCGTATATGAGATACACAAAACCGAGCACTGAGTCATATTTAAGGAATCCCAGTGTACAATTCCGACCAATACTTCACTGTGTTTCTTCTTCACACTCCCTTAACCGTTTGCGTAAGGGAGGCGGCATTTGAATGGATGTCATGGACATCAACTATCCATACGCTCTCAGCACGGTTATAGACTTTCTGTGCCCGACAGCTGAAACTACCTTTTCAAGAGGACGCCGGCGCGGAGATCATTCCTCACTCTGGCGTCATTGAAATTTATCGTCGCCGCACACCACCGTCATACAGCTTGCACTCCTAAAAGAGCCAGAGACGACGGACCGGGCTCAACCTGGCTAAAAACGGCACCACTGACGCGTTCCGGCGGTGCCACGTGGTGTTAGGGTGTCTTTCAGCGCCACAGCCCCGGAGTCGAGCAGACGAGCATTCCTGGTGGTGTGTGTAAGAGAGGTAGACGAAACCTTA